TGAACTGTGCATGTAGAAATTTTTGAAATGGTGTATCTTTGGCTATGTGTATTTTCACCAAAAGAAAATGTTGAGAAGTTAGAGAGTTGACATGTTGTGGGGTGTGGGGTTTGTTAACCAATGTCATAAAACAATATGTGTACTACTGTTTCATGAGAAACTATTTGTTCTGTGAGCCTTCACCTGAGGTACAATTAAAAAAAAAGAAAAACAGCCTAGCACAGAGCAAGTGCTTAATAAATATTACCTACTATTACCATTATTGTTGTTATTAGAACCATATTGTTGTTGTTACTGTTATTGTTGTCATTATCATTATTACAGGTATTATTATCCAAGCTTACTTAAGACTTTCATGAGATTTAAATCACTGAAGTTCTGTTCAAGCTTAATTTTATTTAGTAATTTAACGTGTCCTTTAAATGCTACAGATTTTAATTTTAACCTTAGATAATTTCTATAAAAAAAATGTTTAGAAGAGAATGCAGGAGCATGACTGAAGCTTTTTGTTGAATATTTCACACATTCTTCATCCCTAAACGACCTTTGTCTTGGCACACTTACAGGAATCGTCAGTTGGAAGGTATCTCAGTGGTAGCCCAGCAATTTCATGAAACCTTAGAACCACTGAATGAATGGCTTACAACCATAGAAAAAAGGCTTGCGAATTGTGAACCGATAGGAACCCAAGCATCTAAACTCGAAGAACAAATTGCACAGCACAAAGTAAGATATAAATCACCTGTTAGCAAGATTCTGCTTTCCATTTAATTTGTGGTTTTGTGACATAAATTTCAGTTATGTACTATTGTTTTGTTATGCATCGTTACAAACTAAATTCATTTCGAATGTCATCCTTTAGTTCCATTTATGTTTTCATTTTTATTTGTCCATTCTTTTTGTTTTTCTGCCTTTTTTTTTTTTTTTTTAACCTTATTTAGGCCTTAGAAGATGACATCATCCATCACAGTAAACATTTACACCAGGCTGTTAGCGCTGGCCAATCCTTAAAGGTTTTGAGCTCCAGGGAGGATAAAGATATGGTACAGAATAAATTAGACTCTTCTCAAGTGTGGTACATTGAGATTCAAGAGAAGAGTCACAGCAGGTCTGAGCTCCTCCAGCAGGCCTTATGTAATGCTAAGATTTTTGGGGAAGATGAAGTTGAGCTGATGAACTGGCTGAATGAAGTGCATGACAAACTAAGCAAGCTGTCAGTCCAGGATTACAGCACTGAGGGGCTGTGGAAGCAGCAGTCTGAACTTCGGGTATTTTGATTTATTTTATTTTTCACTTCTGTTGTCATTATTTTCTTAGTCTTCCTTATTTCTGTGTTATTTTACGTTTGTTGTGGTTTCTATGCCCTATATATATACACTTAGCAAAGTTTATCTATAGGCCCTAAAAAAGGAGCCCTGGTAGCACAGTGGTTAAAGCACTTGGCTGCTAACTGAAAGGTAGACAGTTTGAACCTACCAGCCGCTCTGCGGGAGAAAGATGTGGCAATCTGCTTCTGTAAAGATTTAGAGCCTTGGGAACCCCATGGGGCAGTTCTACTCTATCCTGTAGGGTCACTGTTGAGTCGGAATCCCCTCAATGGCAGTTGGTTTGGGTTTTTTTTTGACTATGGATGACTGGTACTTTTTTTTTTTTTTTTTTTTTTTGGATATACCCAAAAAGACTTTGGCTGAATATATAGATTATTATAAGTGAAATCACTTTAAAAAAGAGATTGAATTTCTTCAATTAGCTAGATTTTTTTACTTTTAATTTTGTTGTTTTATTATTATATGCAAAGCTGTATAATTAACCAGTACTCCAATATCTCCACGTAGCCCATCTTCATAGAGTCCTAGTATGTTCTGAAAAGGAGGGTGTTGTGAATTACGGTGATAAGCATGGGCTGTGGGTCACGATGGTGAACAGAGGAGGGGGTAACAATGGAACAATAATGAATATTTGAAAATGTGAGATGTTTCCTCCAGTAGATATCTATGAAACTTAAGTTTTCTGAGATAAACTGATGTTAATGCTAATCTAAAAAAATTGTTTTCCTCACATAAAAATGGTACCTGTGTTTTTAGGTTCTGCAAGAGGACATCCTACTCAGGAAGCAAAATGTAGATCAGGCATTACTAAATGGTTTAGAACTACTTAAACAAACAACAGGTAAGCTGCATTTCAAGTCAGCGATCATGCAGTCAGCATTCTGCATTGCTTTCAAAATGTTTTAGGGATGGGGGAAGAATTTATAATTTTAAGCCCTGTCCAAGACTTCGTTCTGGAGAATGCTTTCAATACCAATCAAGGGGAGTTTTGGAATATGGTCTCACTTCTTTCTCATGATCTCACTTGAATTCTTAATAAAAGTTTGTGTATTACTCATAGCATAAAGCACTTTGGCATAGGAGATGGTCAGAGAAGCCCATGAGGGAATTACGTTGGTTTTCCACTTGTTGAAGGCAGTTGTTCAAGATGAGCACATAGGTTAGAGACAGTTTTTTTTTTTTAAGGTAGATTGCATTGTAGTAACACACACTGTGGCTATATTCATGTTTCCTTTCTCGGTGTTTGAACTCACTCAGAAAACAAATATTTGGTCTAATATCTAAATGAGGAGACCCTAGAACAACTAAAACAAACTAAATTGTTTTAGTGATTCTTTTGGCCATGGGAAAGTCTTACCAAACCTATATCCAGTTTAGCATATACGTATGTGGTGGGGTTAAGCACAGTTCATTATGAGTTGGAGAAATTCAGTAAAGTATCTAAAGCTTTGAACGACGATTCTGAAGTCCAGGACATAATTTCTGTGTGTATCTGAAAATGAGGTCAGTGCAAGTGAAGATACAGTAGAATAATGAGGACAGGTTTATTATTTTTAACATCTATCTATCTACACACACCTGTAACACATATATACATACACACGTATGCCAGGCAGTGTTCTAAACACTTAACAAATATAAACTCATTGAATCTTTATAATAACCATATGAGGTAGATCTATTCTTATCCCTATGTAATGATGATATGTATGTATGAACATATACATACGTATATCCCTCTGTAATAACACATATATCCCTATGTAATAATCCCTATGTAATGGCTCAGAGAGGTTCAGTATCTTTTCCAAGGTAAATCTGCTTTTAAGCCACAGAGTCAATATTTGAACTCATGCAGTTTTTAATCCCTAAACTTTGAAAACTGAAAGCATCATATGGAGAGATACAAAGGTGCTATTTCCCACGCAACTAAAGACACTGTAGCCTTTTTCCAGTTTTGAAATTTGTATTTTTAGAGCTGTTTAGATTTGCCAGAAATCCTAGTAAAGGTGAAAACCTAGAAAAGGGCTTCTCTTAGGTTAGATCGTCTTCAGAAAAATCTTTTTTTTTCCTCCCAGAAAGTTTCATCAGTGTACAATAATGTCTAAAGAGGCTCTTCCACCCCCTTTTTTTCTTTTCATAAGAAATAACATACCTTTGAAATTTTAGGTGATGAAGTTTTAATAATTCAAGATAAATTAGAGGCCATTAAAGCAAGGTACAAAGACATTACCAAATTGAGCACCGATGTAGCCAAGACCCTGGAGCAGGCACTGCAGCTGGCAAGGCGACTGCACTCCACGCACGAAGAGCTCCGTATGTGGCTGGACAGAGTGGAGGTGGAATTACTTTCGTTTGAGACTCAGGTTCTGAAGGGAGAAGCAGTAAGCCAAGCACAAGCGAGACAAAAAGTATGTTCTGATTTAAACATTTTGGATCAGTTTGTTATCACTTAGGGAGTCTTATTCACATAGGAATTTAATGGTATTTGTCTTGAGGCATTACTGATAGGCTGAAGGATGCCTTGGTGGGCAGGAACCCAACAGAAATTGGCAGTATGTCAACAGTTTAAACTTTCAGGAGCCCAGAGATTGAAAACAGGATATTAAAATGATGAAAAGAGAAAAACAAAGAGGAAAATGGTTATTGTTTCAGAGATAACATGTAATTTGGGTGGAATAACAATCTTTGTTTATAAGGTGGAAGCATAGCATAAGGTGGGTTCTCTGTATTGCAAAAACAGTACACTACCATGCTAATAGGAGCCCTGGTGGCGAAGTGGTTAAAGTGCTCAACTGCTAACCAAAAAGTCGGCGGTTTGAACCCACCAGCTGTTCCACGGGAGAAAGATGTGGCAATCTGCTTCTGTAAAGATTTAGAGCCTTGGAAACCTTATGGGGCAGTTCTACTCTATCCTGTAGGGTCACTATGAGTTTAAATCGACTCGTCAGCAGTGGGTTTGGTTTTAGGACCATGCTAATCATTCTTCTTTTCAGAGACATCAGCCTCCTTTTTTATCATCCCTGAAGTATGATCACATGTGGGTGGAAGGAAGTCAGTGCAGTCAGGCTCGATGAGCTTATAATATTCAACTGGAATGGTTTAAAGCCAGTATGTCCTCATTTTGAGGGTCACTTAATTCCGACTTTCTTCTTTTATTCATTTTTCTGTTACCTGGTTACCAGAAAGCAAAGAATAATACATGTTACTTGCTTGGTTTTGTTAATTTTTGGTATTTATATTATGTTTCAGAGATAAAAGCTTGCCATGATAACAAATGACTACATTTAAACTGTTCTTTGCAATTTCTCAGGAAGCACTTTCCTTTTGCAAAATAGCTTTAGATAACAAAGGTTTCTATAACTTAACTGAAACTGATGGGACTAATACTTCATAATATTGACCTACAAAGTTGCTTAGCCCCAAGAACAGTTAGAAGGAAAGCCTGTGCAAACTTTTATGTGTTATCCGAATATATATATGTTTTCTTAATTCCATTTTCAGGAACTGAAGAAGGAAGCTAAGAACAACAAAGCCTTATTGGACTCCCTTAATGAAGTGAGCAGTGCTTTACTGGAACTGGTACCATGGAGGGCCAGGGAAGGGCTGGGAAAGATGGTGGCCGAGGACAATGACCGCTACCGATTAGTGAGTGACACCATCACTCAGAAGGTGGAGGAGATCGATGCCGCCGTTCTGAGATCACAGCAGGTAGGGACATGTGAGTTGTTGGTCTAGGCAGTACATTTTGTTTATTTGTTTCCAAAGCCTTTATCTGAACAAAGATATCTGTTAATAGTGTTTCCATTCATTTGTTATGCTTCAAAAATGAAAGGGTGGATTGGAAAAGCATTTGACTGGGCTCCTGCTACATCTGAGTGCCAGGGCACAGCTAATCTCTACATTGTTAGCAACCATCTGCCTCTTTGTTTTGCAGATTTATCCTTACCAAATCAGACTCTGGGGAGATCAACCCTACTTTCTAAGCAAAATCCTTTTTGTCTACATATATTCATATTGCTAACATTAACTCTATGCCTTGGTTTCCTCTGAGTCTAATCTGAATGTGAGTCACTATTTTGAGTTTTCATGTAAAGTCAGGATAAACTGTTGATTTACATGCAGCTATGGCAATGAGAGATTCATTCTTTCTTAAAAGGAAACAATTTTGTTGGTAATACGGAGTTTTTGCCAAAGATGACTGAAGCGGGGAGATGATAGTGTCTGACCTGTCTGGAGGAGCCCTGGTGGTGCCGTGGTTAAGCTTTCGGCTACTAACCAAAAGGTCGGCGGTTCGAATCCACCAGCCGCTCGATGGAAACCCTATGGGACAGTTCTACTCTGTTCTTTGGGGTAGCTATGAGTTGGAATTGACTCGACAGCAATGGGTTTGGGTTTTTTTTTTGAGGGGCGGGGAAGGGGGCCAGGCAGTATTTGGTTCTGTTGTACATAGGGTCACTATGAGTCAGAACTGACTCGACAGCACCTAACAACAACATTTGGGACCGATGGCACAGTGGTTAAGAGATATGGCAAGCTATGGCTGCTAACCAAAAGGTCGGCAGTTTGATTCTACCAGCTCCTCCTTGGAAACTCTGTGAAGCAGTTCTGCTCCGTCTTATTGGGTCGCTATGAGTCAGAATCAACTCAGCAGCAACAGGTTTTATCTAGGACTCATACAAAGTTTAGAGTTCCAGAGAATTTTATAGGCACCCAGCCCCCACAGTTCCCTCAGAAAATTGTGGGCAACAAGCAGTCCTAGAAATAGAAGTTTATAGTACATGTTTTGATTAACTTTTATTGCAATCTCTGTGCATATTTATATTATGTCACCAGACTCTTATTACAAACTTTCTGTGTGGGGGTCAGTGTGATATTGCAGTGTACTTTAGAGCAGAGCTTGGGAAGGTACATGACTAACTTTTTACTAATACAAGCAAAAGCAAGAAACCGATTCTGTAGAAGTATCCAAAATTAATTTTCTAAAGTTGCCATAAAGTGTAATTTATGTAGTTCTAAAGCATAATGCTCCACTCCTTATTTTAGTGCTGTGTTCAAGAATCACAAAAGCTGATGAAATACAATGATAACAACAGGCCTGCCTAAGAAATTTTTGTGAGGAAGGGCATTCATGCCTGAGGAATGTATTTGCATGGCTATGTTTAGAGTTTGGTGGAATTTGTATGCCTCATTATTATGGAGAAATAAGTATGTTTATTTGTGAAGTTTATTTAACTACTTAAAGATGCTGAATCTTTTTCCCTAAAATTTATTTGAACATTTCAGAATTGGCACTGAAGACTTCCCTAAATAGTGAGACAAATATTCTGTACTTTTGGGAATAAAATTTTCTTGAGAAGTTGACTATAGTTGGTCAGTTTTGTGAAATAAGATAATAAGGCAAGGCCACAGGTTGAACTTGTACTGGTTAGTCAGCTCTGATTTGTGCCAAGGTCATTAACTCTATCCCAGTTCTAGTCAAAGTTTTATGAATGTTTTCCAAAGGATAAAAAGTAAACCAGGTCAGTGTAAATGTTCTTGAACCCAAAGTATATATCATTTAGAAAAATAACAATCATTGCTGATTTTTTTCCTGATAAAATTATTCTTTATAGAAAATGTTGAGATTTTCTTAAAAACATACCAAAAAGACTTATGGAAGAAAAGTAGGTGAACAATTTAGTATATATCCGCCCAGCCTTCCTTTTAGGAGAAAGAGAGAATGAATGAATACGAATGAGAGAGAGGAAGAGAGAAAGTATGTGTAATAAAAGCGTCTTACTACCAGTAGGTTATATAGCAACACTAACGTCATCAATATCTAGTTGTTCATGTGTGTATTTATATCTGCATTCCTTTGAAATACTTGCAAGGCTGTTCAGTGAAATACCTCCAGTAAAGCTCAAGACACTCAGCTCTGAAGACACACAGGTCTATAGAGCTGAGTGAGCATATGCAGTACATGGTGAAGTGACTTGCCTGTGGTTCCACAGCTAGTTAAGTGGCAGAGTTGCAACTAGAATTTAATCCAGATCTTATTCTACCTCCTGCAGACTATTTCGGGAAGAAAAATGCATGGGCATGATCCATATTTTCTAACTTTCTTCAGTATCTGAAGAAAGGTGCTCTGGGTAATTGTTTAAAGGGAAGTATGTAGGAGAATATTTCTGACTACAAGGACTGTGAGACATGAGAATGCAACCCTAAAAGGATAATGAATACCACTTTCTAGGCAAGTTTAAGGATAGAGTAGGTATTTGTCTTTCAGGTTTGGCAGAAATTTAGTTTTACACTCAAAAGAGTAGTTTCTAAAATCATAATTTCAAGTTTATAAAAGAACTAATATAACATTGAAATTATTTTTAAGCTTACCCATTTATAGATGTTTGGAATTAGGACCAGAGTATAGTTTGGTCTTAAAATGTTTGTTTTCTGTTTATCCAATGAAAATGCATCTATGAAAGTTAAAAAGAATGATGCAGAAAATTATCTTTAGACCTGGATGTTAGTCATATATTTTATACTATCTGTTATATGTTGGATAAACAAATCATCTACCATTCTGTGTCTCTTCTCCATCTGAAATATGGACGGGTTCTGACCTCAGTCCACCTTTTTAAACATACATTTAGTCACATACAATTTTATCTACCATGCTCCTCCGAAGAGACCTCTTCCCAACATCCTTCACCCCCCACCCCCAAATAAAAAATAAAAACCACACAAGTGACAGGGTGAGGATGTGTGCCTTGAGCATTACTTGGTAATTTTTAAATTCGTATTTACTGCTTTGTCCTTGAATGACCAGGTTAACTTAAACTGAATTTTAAATAGCTGGATGTTCTGCCTTCCAAACAGATTTCTCTTATGATAGTTCGCATTTTGCCCAGTATTATGGTTGTTTATGCACAGGTCTGTCTCCATTATAAGGTTTGAACCTCCCTGACAGCTGTTCTTTGAAATTAAACAAATGCATAGGGACTTTGTGAACTGTCAGGCCACTGTCACAGAGGTATATTGCTTCCAACCATCAACATGTAAGAAGATGCCCAGAAAAACATGGAAAAGAATTAAAATTTGAAGGGAGAAGAGAAAGGAGCGTACAGATATCTTCTGATTAGCATATTGTTTATACCCATCCTATATAAAGTTAAAAAAAAAAAAGTTCTGATTTGATATGGTTAGATTTTCATGTTAATCCTACATTCCCGGTAACAGTTTTGAGAGGATGTGCCATTGAATTTTGAATTCATAGGGACAAGGGTCCTATGTAAATTTGAGTGATGATTTTTATTTTTTGGGAAATAGTTGAGCAGCCTCAGTTATGGACAACTGAGTGAACACTATATGCATGTGGTATTACTACTCAACAAGCCCCCAAATCTGACTCTATAGATTTGCAGGTGTTGATATTCCAAAGAGGATATTCTTTTTAAAAAGAATTGGGTCTATTCATTACTTTTAGAAAGAAAACTGAGTGGAACAAGACTACTTAGTAAATAAATAGTGATAGTGAACTTAAAAAAAAACAAAACAAGCAACAACTGTCTTCTTTCTCACAATACATGCCATTATCTGAGTTAGAAACTATACATATTTTTGCACTGTAAATCTACACAGAGTGTAACAAATTTTTGTTGTTCTCTTTCTTTAATTGCAAATTGAACTACATGAGCCATGTAGAAATGGAAAAAGGCACTTTTGCATAGCAAATGTACAGACTTGTAGCTGGACTTCAGACCACCATGATTGTTTGTTTAAACCTCAGAGCAGTTAATCGTCCCCTGCCTCTTATAAATTTACAATTGTCAGAATTTGCTAAAATGCGTGTAACTCACTGGGTTTGGGAATCCCAGGCACTCTTCTGCAAGTCTAATTGCTTGGTTTGTTTAAGTGGGCCCCATAGCAACCCTGATATAAAGGCCCATGTGTTTGTGGTTTTGGGTGCAATTAAAATTGAGTCATTAGAAGTCAGCCTTGGAGAAAAATAACACCTGTTTACTTCTTTTAAAGAACCAGAAGGAAACATCTCCTACGGAAGTGAGATTTGTTTAGCCCCTCCAGGTGTTTAGGGTGGGAAAATATGGGTTATGTTATGAATAATGAGAAGCAAAATGGAAGGAAATGCTAATCAAAGGAAAGTGATAAGATCCCCAGCCCGGGGAAGGGAGTAAAAGGACATCCTTGAGGTCAAGGTCTGCTTATCACTGTCTTTCTTAAGCCTGTATTTCTACTCTAGAGACCTTCTGGATAGGTGCGAAAGCAGTTGTCAGAGATTGGAGAAAACTTTAAGTATTAAGTTAAAATGCACTATTTATTAACTGCTGTGATATTTGAGCCACATGAATAGTTGGAATACATGAAACCCAAACCATATACAAGCACAAGCAATGTGATGTGGCTGGTAAGAGTGTAGTCTGTGAGGTCAGACCACCTTGGTTCCAGCCTCAGGTTCAAGATTCAGTAGCTGGGTAATCTCTGGTAGATTAGTTAACTTTTCTCTCTGCCTCAATTTCCTAGACCGTAAATGGAGTCAAATATAATACCCACATTATACAGTTGTTGTGAGGATTAAAGGAGATATTGCATGCTAAGTACGTAGAACAGTGAGTTCAGTGAAATGCTGGCCATTATTGTCTTAGGCAGTGTTTTCCTTAGGAATATACAGAGGTAACCACTTAAAATGTCTTTCACTAACTTAGGAAATTTCT